AGTAAAGGAAGTAGAAAGGTATGAGAGTAGTGTAGAGTAGATAGTAGAAGTAGTATTTAGAAGTAGGTGTAGAAGTAGTAGTAGTAGTAGTAGTAGTGAATAGAGAAGTATAGAGTAGTAGTAGAAAGTAGTGTAGTAGTAGAAGTATAGTAGTAGTAGTAGATAGTAGTAAAGTAGTAGTATGTAGTAGAAGTAGTAGTAGTAGAGTAGTAGAAGTAGAGAAGTAGTATTATAGTAGTAGTAGTGTAGAAGTAGTAGTAGTATAGTAGTAGTATAGAATAGTTGTAGATAGTAGTAAGAAGTAGTAAGTAGAAGTTGTAGTAGTCTGAAGTAAGTAGTAGTAGTAGTAGTAAAGTAGTTTGTAGTAGTAGTAGTAGTAAAGTAGTAGTAGTAATGTAGTAGAAGTAGTAGTAGGTAGTAGAAGTAGTAGTAGAAAGTATAGTAGTAGTAAAGTAGTAGTAGTAAAGTAGTAGAAGTAGTAGTAGAGTAGTAGTAGTAGTAAGTAGTAGTAGTAGTAGAAGTGTAGTAGTAGTAGTAGTAGTAGAAGTAGTAGTAGTAGTAGTAGAAGTAGTAGTAGTAGTAAAGAAAGATAGTAGTAGTAGAAGTAGTATAGTAGTAGAATAGTAGTAGTAGTAGTAGTAGTAGTAGAGTAGAAGTAGTAAGTAGCAGTAGAAGTAGTAGTAGTGGAAGTAGTAGTAGTAGAAGTAGTAGTAGTATGTAGTAGTAGAGTAGTAGTAGAAGTAGTAGTAGTAGAAGTAGTAGTAGTAGAAGTATTTTAGTAGTAGAAGTAATAGTAGTAGAAGTAGTAGTAGTAGTAGTAGTAGTAGTAGTAGAAGTAGTAGTAGTAGTAGAAGTAGAAGTAGTAGTAGAAGTAGTAGTAGTAAAGTAGTAGAAGTAGTAGTAGAAGTAGTAGTAGTAAAGTAGTAATAGAAGTAGTAGTAGTAGTAGAAGTAGTAGTAGTAGAAGTAGTAGTAGTAGTAGTAGTAGTAGTAGTAGTAGTAGAAGTAGTAGTAGTAGAAGTAGTAGTAGAAGTAGTGGGTAGTAGTAGAAGTAGAAGTAGTAGTGGGTAGAAGCATTTAGTAGAAAGTAGTAGTAGTAGAAGTAGTAGTAGTAGAAGTAGTAGTAGTAGAAGAAGTGGTAGTAGAAGTAGTAGTAGTAGTAGTAGTAGAAGTAGAAGTAGTAGTAGTAATAGTAGTAGTAGTAGTAGTAGAAGTAGTAGAAGTAGTGTAGTAGTAATAGAAGTAGTAGAAGAAGTAGTAGTAGAAGTAGAAGTAGTAGTAGTAATAGAAGTAGTAGTAGTAGTAGAAGTAGTAGAAGTAGAAGTAGTAGTAGAAGTAGTAGAAGTAGAAGTAGTAGTAGTAGTAGTATTAGTAGCAGTAGAAGTAGTAGTAGAAGTAGTAGTAGTAGTAGTATTAGTAGCAGTAGAAGTAGGTAGTAGTAGTAGTAGTAGAAGTAGTAGTAGTAGTAGTAGTATAGCAGTAGTAGTAGTAGTAGAAGTAGTAGCAGAAGTAGTAGTAGTAGTAGTAGAAGTAGTAGTAGTAGTGGGGAATTAAGGAGGAGGAGCCAGTCAAATACAAAGAAAGGGGAGCACTGCAAGGGAGCTAGGTGCCCACAAGGGAGCTAGGTGCCCACAGAGGGAGAGCAAGTGCACAGAGGTGGGGGGAAGGGGAAGTGATGAAATAAATAATGAAGAAACAGAAACACGAGACAGAAGAAAGACAACCCAATGGAGAAAAAAGGAAAGAGGAAAGGGGAAGAGTGAGAAGAAAAAAATGAGGAATCAGGTTAAGTCACGGATGTTCTGAAGTTTGGAGTATTTTACAATGTAGTGGGAGAGGAAGGCATCTACAGAGACAAAGCCAGGACTAAGATTCACACAAGGAAAGCTGTGTATTAGAGAGGATTCAACTAGACGGCGACTGTTAGAGTTGGAAGTAGGGAAGACAGTTTTAGCGGAAGACCAGTCAATAGGATGGCTGTGATCTCTGACGTGACAGAACAGAGCACTGTTAGTGTCAGCAAGCCTAACACTATTTTTGTGCTCCATAGAGTAGACACGAGGAACATCTGTAGAGGGAGGAGAGGTTCATACCTCTCCTCCCTCTATAGATGTTCCTGGTGTCTACTCTATTTCTTGCTCCTCCTGTCCTCTTGAATACTTTGGAGGAACTGGTCGATCTCTTTCTGACAGACTTAGGGAGAACAAAAATAGTGTTAGGCTTACACAAGAAAATAAATGTTAAAGACAAGACAGCATGAGTATAGTTGTGCTCAAGTAAGAATAAAGTAATCACAACACTATACCTACTTTGAACACTTGTTACTGGAAGACATGTTGTTCTCTGGAAGATGAGAAGTGATTTCTAAACGCTGACGCTGAAATGGTATTGGCTTCCTGCATCCACCTAACAAAAATAAAAATATCAAGGTATAATTTTACTATCTCTTTCAAGGGTGACAACAAATATGACCATAAATCAAAGGCAAATAATAATTATGCTGATTTCTCTACACTCAATGTAAATTATATCCAAAACAATAGCACTGATTTGTTAATTTCAATTTTACTTCAATTAGTTATATTGTATAATGCAACTATTGTATAAGAAATAAAGCCTCCTATCAGCAATATTCTTTAGTGAAGCAACTATAGTGAAACATGCATAATTTAGTCTTGAAAAATAATAAACAAACAGAAGGAGAAAAAAAGGTTATTATAGATTTTTATTTACAGGCAAGTACATTCAAACACTAGTGATCTACTGTTCATATGCTGCCTCACTTTCAACCATGTTTATAAATGGAACAAAAAGACATAATACCGTGACTGGAACAATACACAAATTATTCGCACGTAGGAGAAAGAAACTTATGATGATCTTTTGGTCCAAGTCAGACTGAAATGTCATCTTAAGTTTCATTCTCCTATGTGAATTTTTATATACGAAAAGTGAACAACCACTTGGACAGAAAAATGAAGTTGCTGAAGGGGGTACCTGACCAAGGCTGAAATATGCATGTCGCTTTAACCTGAATTCATTTTACTCTCCTGATCAGCCAGGATGTGGTGCAAACACTGGTCTGTGTGCAGCCAGCACCAACAGCCTGGCTGACCAGGCCATCAACTGGGAGACCTGGTCTGCATCTGGGCCATGAGGGCAGTGACCCCTGAAAAAATCTGAAGGTAACCTATACATAAGTGGTTTGTGACTTCAATGATCAGTGTTTAGAGCACTGTCATGAACACATTTTTCTTTACTAGTAAGCCCTCTATTTAATGGACTAACAAGAAAAAGCAGGTGAATTTTAATATGAATTATGGCGATGGAGGTAAGACTGTTTTGCTGTGAGTGTAACAATAATGGACAATTCTGTAGCCAACAGACTTTATCCATTATTTCCAAATCAAATGACCCAGCAGATTTTGTCCTATATATTACAGGAAAGTGGGTGCAGGAGGGAAGAGGAGCGATTGGTGGAATGATGATGTAAAGAGAGTAGTAAGGGAGAAAAAGTTAGCATATGAGAAATTTTTACAAAGTAGAAGTGATGCAAGGAGGGAAGAGTATATGGAGAAAAAGAGAGAGGTTAAGAGAGTGGTGAAGCAATGTAAAAAGAGAGCAAATGAGAGAGTGGGTGAGATGTTATCAACAAATTTTGTTGAAAATAAGAAAAGTTTTGGAGTGAGATTAACAAGTTAAGAAAGCCTAGAGAACAAATGGATTTGTCAGTTAAAAATAGGAGAGGAGAGTTATTAAATGGAGAGTTAGAGGTATTGGGAAGATGGAGGGAAATTTTGAGGAATTGTTAAATGTTGATGAAGATAGGGAAGCTGTGATTTGTGTATAGGGGAAGGAGGAATAACATCTTGTAGGAGTGAGGAAGAGCCAGTTGTGAGTGTGGGGAAGTTCGTGAGGCAGTAGGTAAAATGAAAGGGGTAAGGCAGCCGGGATTGATGGGATAAAGATAGAAATGTTAAAAAGCAGGTGGGGATATAGTTTTGGAGTGGTTGGTGCAATTATTTTAATAATTTTATGGAAGAGGGTAAGGTACTAGTGATTGGCAGAGAGCATGCATAGTTCCTTTGTATAAAGGCAAAGGGGATAAAAGAGAGTGCAAAAATTATAGGGGGATAAATCTGTTGAGTGTACCTGGTAAAGTGTATGGTAGAGTTTTTAATTGAAAGAATTAAGAGTAAGACGGGGAATAGGATAGCAGGATGAACAAGGAGCTTTAGGAAAGGTAGGGGGTGTGGGACCAGGGGTTTACCCGTTGAAACATATAAGTGAACAGTATTTAGATAAGGCTAAAGAGGTCTTTGTGGCATATATGGATTTGGAAAGGGTATGACAGGGTGGATAGGGGGGCCCAAAGTGGCAGATGTTGCAAGTGGGATGGTGTAGGAGGTAGGTTACTGAAAGCAATGAAGAGTTTTTACGAGGATAGTGAGGCTCAAGTTAGGTATGTAGGAAAGAGGGAAATTTTTCCAGTAAAAGTAGGCCTTAGACAAGGATGTGTGATGGTCACCGTGGTTGTTTTTAAAATATTTATAGATGGGGTTGTAAGAGAAGTAAATGCGAGGGTCTTGGCCCAAAAGGCGTGGAGTTAAAAGATAAAGAATCACACACAAAGTGGGAGTTGTCACAGCTGCTCTTTGCTGATGACACTGTGCTTTTGGGAGATTCTGAAGAGAAGCTGCAGAGATTGGTGGATGAATTTGGTAGGGTGTGCAAAAGAAGAAAATTAAAGGTGAATTTCAGGAAAGAGTAAGGTTATGAGGATAACAAAAAGTTTAGGTGATGAAAGATTGAATATCAGATTGGAGGGAGAGAGTATGGAGGAGGTGAACGTATTCAGATATTTGGGAGTGGACGTGTCAGCGGATGGGTCTATGAAAGATGAGGTGAATCATAGAATTGATGAGGGAAAAAGAGTGAGTGGTGCATTAGGAGTCTGTGGAGACAAAGAACTTTGTCCTTGGAGGCAAAAAGGGAAATGTATGAGAGTATAGTTTTACCAACGTCTTATATGGGTGTGAAGCGTGGGTGATGAATGTTGCAGCGAGGAGGAAGGCTGGAGGCAGTGGAATGTCATGTCTGAGGGCAATGTGTGGTGTGAATATAATGCAGAGAATTCGTAGTTTGGAAAGTTAGGAGGGGTGCGGGATTACAAAACTGTTGTCCAAAAGGGCTGAAAGGGAAAGGGTGTTTAGGTGGTTCGGGCATGTAGAGAGAATGGAGCAAAACAGAATGACTTCAAGAGTGTATCAGTCTGTAGTGGAAGGAAGGCGGGGTAGGGGTGGCTAGGAAGGGTTGGAGGGAGGGGGGTAAAGGAGGTTTGTGTGCGAGGGGCTTGGACTTCCAGCAGGCATGCGTTTAGCGTGTTTTGATAGGAGTGAATGGAGACAAAAGGTTTTTAATACTTGAGTGCTGTTGGAGTGTGAGCAAAGTAACATTTATGAAGGGATTCAGGGAAACCGGCAGGCCGGACTTGAGTCCTGGAGATGGGAAGTACAGTGCCTGCACTCTGAAGGAGGGGTGTTAATGTTGCAGTTTAAAAACTGTAGTGTAAAGCACCCTTCTGGCAAGACAGTGATGGAGTGAATGATGGTGAAAGTTTTTCTTTTTCGGGCCACCCTGCCTTGGTGGGAATCGGCCAGTGTGATAATAAAAATAATAATAAAAAAATATTAGCAGTCCATTAAATCGACTCCTTTCAAGTGAGGGTTTAGCATATACTCTATTAGTTAAGAGAGGCTGGGCAGATGGCCTCACCGGGTGTGGTGACCACTGCCCGGAGGTTCTTCTCCTGCAGCTGAAGAATGCGACTGTTCTTCTTGCTGGACTCCACCTCCAGTTCCTCTATCTTCCGCTGGTACTCCCCTGCGAGGAACCGCAGGTTTCTATTCTCCTCCTCTAGCTTTTGTAAAGCATTCTGCAGCTCTGCAAGTAACAACAGTCAACTTCAAAAGGTACATGTTAAAAGGTGGGATTTTATTGTTTCAGCGTAAATAGCACTGTTCCAGAAAGTGAAAATATTTTAGGAAAAAGTGTCTAGTATCAATAATGACTCCACTTGAAAAAAAAAACTCCAGATGGGGTTAAGTTCATGGTAGTGTCAAATATCAGTTTACACTGAGAGGAAAGGTTGGAGGAAGGGGATAAAAGAGGTTTTGTATGTGAGGGGTTGGACATCCAACAGGTGTGTGTGTGTCTTACACAGAAGTGGAGGCAAGTGGTATTTATGATGATGTGCTGTTGGAGTGTGAATAACATAACATATATTAAGGGATTCAGAGAAACCAGTTAGCCAGATTTGAGTCCTGGAAGTGGGAAGTACAGTGCCTGCACTCTGAAGGAGGAGGTGGGGATATCTGCAGTTTGGAGAGGAATCTGAACTGTGATGTTGACACACCTTTGGCAAGACAGTGATGATTAAAGTGTTTCTTCATTTTTGGATCACTCTGCCTTGGTAGGAGATGGCCGGTGTAATATAGCATTTTAGTTGCAAAAAAACAAAAATGCACAAAGTTGGGGTAAATTTGAAGTCATTTAAGGCCTGATAGCTTCAATAAGAGTTCTCAGTTACAGAATCTGTAATGGCCATTGCACAGTGGTGATAAATTCAGCCTAGGTTTAGTGGAGAGGAAGAGTGAGGCCTCAGGATTCCTCCCTCATCATATTGTTACATTCACTCTAATTTGAAATTTTAGTTCTCTTTTTATATGCATACACAATAATATACTATTGTATATTACCACTGCCTTTCAAGGGATGCTGTGGATTCCATCTCACATTGGTCTTCAGATGCATGATAGAACTGATAAATTGGCTAAGCTGTATGCTTTCAAAGAGGGAGTAGATTACAATCTTGGCTTGTCAGGTAGTAGTTTGAGAACAATAATACGAAAAGAACTTCAACTGAATTTTATGGACTTAAGGCTCAGGGAGATTGACACCAGTGAGTCCATCTATCATCATTCTATCATGCAGGAGGAGCCACATGTCTATGGTACATCCAACAAAATAAGCAGACTCTTGGATGTCACTACTGCCCGGCTCCGGCTGGGTTACAAGTTCTTTGGCAGGTTAAATCACACCACCAATG